TCGCCACTCAGGATTGGTCACTTGTCTTTTGTCTGGCTGCCATTTTCTAGCTGGCCAAGCACTCTATTTGAGCAAAGTTCATGCAAGTTAATAATAAAATTAAAAGAAATATCTGATCATCCTTCATGATGCAGTTGTATTACATTCCAAAGAGCTCTATTATCATCCCTACGTTGTACAATGAAACCAAATCCATATCGGCTGTCTGATTGGCACGAAATGGAACGGTTATGCAATGAGAATGGTTTGGCCCAACGGTGGAAAGCTTTTGTCTACATTAGGGCTGGGCGATAAAATATATCATATCGTGATCGCGATAAAATTAACTTTGATAACGATATTAAGCTCTGGACATTTTTCCTCGATATGGATTCATCTTCTAAAACAGAAATAAATGCAACAACATCCAGTCAGAGCATGTCGCAAATAAGTGAAGTTAAAAATAAAAATACAATGTTTTGTTGTGTTAATTGCTATATTTTCTTTTTTTAAATTTGTTAAGTTTATATAAATTTGTATTTAATCATAAAACACAGAATCCCCCCAAAATAATATGGATTTCATGGGGCCCTTAATTAAAAGGGAGCTACTCTATAGAGTTTAATTGTGAACAAACAAATTTACATGTTTACATTAATTTTCAAGGTCTAACGAATATGTGGAAAGCATTTCCTTCCCAATTAATGGTTAGTGAATATATAAATATAATAAAAATCCATATCGTATGATAATATTTTTGGTCATATCGCCCAGCCTTAGTCTACAGTTTAATACATTAATACTGTGTATTCGGACGTCCTACTTATTTGACATGATGTTTTTTTCATGCTATGGGGTAGGGAATAAGTAGGAAAGCTTAGAAACAACAGTACATCAACTTGGAACATGAAAGAAATTTCATTTGTGTCTCGGGCTGGTTAATTTCAATGTGGCAGTTAATGTTCCTTTAGTTGTTAGTCATTTTCTAGATTCATTTTGTGGAGGTAGATTTCCTAGTTTATGTGTAGATTTGCAAAAGGTCCTTTGAAAAACTTCTTTAGAGTTTTTCAAACACACACTGAATGTCACGGCTTGGTTTTGGTGAGGACGTGTTTCCTGGCTTGAATCTGTTCAGCATATGTGTGAGTAGGAGACTGCAGTGGTTTACTGTGTGTATGTGTGGTTTTCCTCACCCAGATTGCATTGTGTGAATAATGCTCTTACTAACATCTGAAACATGAAACAAACATTCCCAGCTGCTAAGCGAAGACCGACAGAACAGTAGCAAGTTCCTGTGTGAGAGAGAAAGGTTTTACAGTATGATAGACTTCCAGTTGCACAGAAAAAGACCTTTATTCTTGGTAGCATTAAGCCAGTATTACACAAAATGATTCTTTTTTTTTGTATCTTCAATGTTGGAATGCAATATTGCAGTATTGATTATAAATGATTAATTTGTGCACATGATTATTTTATTTAATTCTTGTCCCCCCATATCCTTTAATCAAACTAAAATTTGATATATATATATATATATATTTTTATCAAATTAAAATAAAATAACCTCTCTGGTCCAACAGCCTGTTACTCACATGGCATCAATAACAAACAACGTTTGCGGTAGATAAAATCAAGTCCCATCCTACAATTTTTCTTATTCAAGCTGTTTCGCTCAGATATATATGGAAGCTTGTTTCCGCCACTGAATTAAAAATAATAATAATAATTGCGACTTTTTATCTCACAATTGCGAGATATGAATTCAGAATTGTGAGAAATAAAGTCGCTATTGCGAGATATAAAGTCGCAATTGCGTGTTATAAAGTCAGAATTGCGAGATATAGTCAGAATTAGGGGTGGGCGATATGACCAAAATTGTGTTTCACGATATGACTAATTTTATTTCACGGTAACGATATATTTCACGATATAGTTATTTATATAGTTATCCTAAAAAAAAAAAAAAAAAATCGACAAAAAGGGCTTTGTATAATAAATAAACCCAAATACTTTAGAAATGAAAAGTATGTCACCTTGTTTTATTTTTATTTTATTTGGTAAATTATTTATTTGGTAAACTACTTTTTATATCAAAATATAGTAAACAAAAAACACTCAAACTTTTAGATGAACTTCCCACAACAGATTGATATTAAATACAACTCATAGGTGCATTTCAACTTTAAATAATTTTTCAATCTCATGCATTGCTTTACTTCATCAATCAGTTTATAATATAATTATAATATATATAATATAATTATAATATTTTTTTACCACATGTGCTTATTATACTGCGTTTTTAACGGAGAAGGGTATTCCTGCACAACCGGAGACTGCACACACTGTTGTTTCAACGGGCTTGTTTTGCTCTTTTTGTTATATCTGGCAACCCGTCAGTTCAGAAGTGACAAGAAGGATAGCTGCAATATGAAAACCAAACCGCAGCTACTGTTAGTGTTGACTAAGTAGTTTAAATTATACACACCTTATAACAGTGCGTCGAACACCGCGCGCTCCCTCTAGTGCATGTGCACGCGCGCGTCTTTTACATCAACAAAATGCGATCGATTAGAGTGAAGTTGTAATCACGGATCGAATCAAAGGAAGATTTTATCAACTGGTTCAGTTGGAAATTGTTTGGTGTTAAAACATATATAACTCGCGCTGCATATTAGTAATTTTGCCTCAGAAACAGGATTATACATTCGTTTTAACAAGCAGGATATGTTCATTCATGCTGAATGAGATTTTCATGTTTAAAAAGTAACTATACATAAGAGAAGGAAAGATGCGGATAACTATACATTATTTAAGGTTATTTCTCGTAATGATATTGATATAGCCTATGAAACGTTGTTATCAAGTAACTTCATGCTTTCCCCGTTGCGAACGTGCACTCCTCTAAACTGTAGCCTGGGTGCTGCTGCTCTGCTGAAGTTGACGGCTGCCTTTCCCCCCGAACATATCACGTTAACAACAACCCTTTAGAAAATGTAATTCCTTTGTGGATCCTCTTGATCTGCTTTCTCCATGTTTCTTTGACAAATCTCAACATCAGTCTCACGCGCGCTGCACGGGAGTTAACCACGCCCCCTTATTTGCATTTCGCGGTATACACAGACTAAAAAAATCTGTTACGACTGATGTTTTCTATCGCGGTAACGATATATATCGCCATATCGCCCAGCCCTAGTCAGAATTGCCTGATATTAAATCAGAATTGCGTGATATAGTCGCAATTCTGAGAAAAAAAGACAGAAGTGTGACTTTTTATCTCACAATTCTGACTTTATTTCTCAGAATTTCGATATGTAAAGTCAGAATTGCATGATATGGTCGCAATTGCGAGATATAAACTCAGAATTGCGAGATATAAACTCAGAATTGCGAGATATAAACTCAGAATTGCCTGATATAAACTCAGAATTGCCTGATATAAACTCAGAATTGGGAGATATAAACTCAGAATTGGGAGATATAAACTCAGAATTGCCTGATATAAACTCAGAATTGCCTGATATAAACTCAGAATTGCCTGATATAAACTCAGAATTGCGAGATATAAACTCAGAATTGCCTGATATAAACTCAGAATTGCCTGATATAAACTCAGAATTGCGAGATATAAACTCAGAATTGCCTGATATAAACTCAGAATTGCCTGATATAAACTCAGAATTGCCTGATATAAACTCAGAATTGCCTGATATAAACTCAGAATTGGGAGATATAAACTCAGAATTGGGAGATATAAACTCAGAATTGGGAGATATAAACTCAGAATTGCGTGATATAAAGTCGCAATTGCGTGTTATAAAGTCAGAAATGTGAGATTTAAACTATTGGAATAGACTTAGAATTACCCTGATAACTCGCAATTGCGAGTTTATATCTCACAGTTCTGAGAAAAGATCGAGATAAATTTCGAGATATAAACTCGCAATTATGTTATAAAGTCAGAATTGAGAGATGTAAGCTCGCAATTGTGAGAAAAAAAGTCAGAATTGTGAGATAAAAAGTCGCACTTCTGTCTTTTTTTTTTCAGAATTGCGACTCTATATCACGCAATTCTGACTTTATATCACACAATTCTGACTTCATATCTTGCAATTGTGAGATAAAAAAGTCGCAATTATTATTATTTTTTTAAAATCAGTGGCGGAAACAAGCTTCCATAGATATACATCACAACAGGGAAGAAAAAAAGCCTGTGACTTTAGTGTTTACAGTTTTCTTCAAAATTGAGTTTTTTGTGCCATAAATAATGAACAGTTGAAACAAAATCTTATTAATGTCAACATAATAGTGGATTACAGTGCACTCATGTCATATCCGATAGAAACACACGAAGATAAGGTGACTCATTATTTAGGCTTCAGCAGTTTTAATTAATTGTTTGACACGGAAATGTCCATTCCATATTAAGAGTGTCCATATGTTGGGAAAGCAGTATGGCGGTACCATACTACAGTAGAAATGTGTTAACCAATAGAGATGTTGCTGTACTGTTTAGAAATGTGTTAATGGTAGATATATTTGCTTAAAAAATATATATTTTTGTAAGGCAGGACTAATTCACACCATTTACACATAAGAGTGACTAAGAAACGAGGAGAAATGCAAAAATACAGAGATTGATGTATCTCAAACACATCATGATGTAATACAAAAAAGAAATTAAGGCGTGTCATTAGGAACAATGTGAAGTAGTTGCCAATCAAAATTTTGATTTCGAGCTTTTATAATATTGGATTTATAGACTTATTAATTTATGAATAATATTATATTTTGGTTTACATTCGTCAAATTCCAAATATTAAGAAAATAATAAATAAACCTTCATAAATCTACATCTTTACCAACTTGATTTTTTTTGGTGTGACAGTAGTAGCATCGTCATCATCTTCTAAATATTGTGTTATAAAATTACTCATGCCGTCATACAAGGTTTTGGTCCTACTGCCCACTCATAGGAGTCTGTTTGGACCGCACCTGACCTTGTGTATTTGTATTTACAGATATCTGGGGGGAGCAGTCATTTCAGACAGACCCTGATTTGCCTCCAGGATGGAAGATGATGACAGACATGGCTGGTATTTATTACTGGCACATTCCAACAGGCACCACACAGTGGGAGAGACCCGCCCCATGCCATCCGGTGCCAACTGGACCCAGCCAGGCCAGCCGCAAACACTCTCTGGGCTCCCTTTCGCCTTCGCCCACTCCAGATCACGAGGTAAAAATCCTGTGGTTACAAAAACTGGACGTGTTAACTCAGCTTAAGCAAATTAATTGTTAATTTATCCACATTGACCAATGTGTCTCTTTGTTTTCCTCTAGTCGATGTCTCATGCCGACGTGTTTTTCGGGGCGTCAAGTCGTTCAGGCAGCACCACTTCCGACAGCTCGTCTGACCCCGCTCCTGTCCCGTCTTCTTCATGTGTGGAACCTACCCCTATCCTGTCCCCAAACTCTTCCTCATCCTCTGACGGCAATGTTCCTTCCTGTGGATTTGTCAACAGCTGCTACTTTGTAAGTATTTTCATCAGTGTCCCATTTTACAGTATGAACAATACTCTATGGATATATCCTGCCATTCTTTAGGTGTTTGGCTTTCATAATGAGTATGATTAAGTTGTGGAGAATAAATAGATAAGACCTTAATTTAACACAAATTATAGTTTTGAAGTGCCATTTGTGACAGTACTTCGGTTGCCATGGATTAAATAGAGCTGGGTTTATGTTTAATATAGTTACAGGTTGCTATGACTGTATTTACTGTATGTTTGATGATTGGAAAGTTTAACGGAACAGCATTTATATGAAATTAAATTTTTTGTAACAATTTAAAAGACACTTTTTTATGAATTTAATGCATCCTTGCTAAATAAAAGTATTTGTGTTTTGGTCATTGGTCATGCATAATAAAGCTAAAACTATGTGTATTGTATGTTTGTGTGTGTATAGCCTCGGTCCTCATCCCTACAGATAATGCCAGGAAAGGACAGACACTCTGAGACACGCCATCGGGAAGAGGACAAGGTAACAACTCCTTTTGTTGTGGGGAAATTTTTGGTCTCCTTTGATTCTTGCAACAGAGAGTGAGATATCAACATCCATATTGCATCTAATCAAATTACAACCAACACAATCACACACAAACACCCAACAGCCAGATAGTACACACACACACACACACACACAATCACAACCAAACACCCGACAACCAGATACTACACATACACACACACAATCACAACCAAACACCCAACAGCCAGATTCTATACACATACAATCACAACCAAACACAAAACAGCCAGATACTACACACATACACAATCACAACCAAACACCCAACAGCCATATACTGTACACACACACAATCACAACCAAACACCCAACAGTCAGATACTACACACACACACACACAATCACAACCAAACACCCAACAGCCATATACTGTACACACACACAATCACAACCAAACGCCCAACAGTCAGATACTACACACACACACACACACACACACAATCACAACCAAACACCCAACAGCCATATACTGTACACACACACAATCACAACCAAACACCCAACAGCCAAATACTACACACACACACAATCACAACCAAACACCCAACAGCCAGATACTACACACACACACACACACCATCACAACCAAACACCCAACAGCCAGATACTACACACACACCATCACAACCAAACACCCAACAGCCAGATACTACACACACACACACACACACACACACACACACACACACACACACACACACACACACACACACACACACACACCATCACAACCAAACACACAACAGCCAGATACTACACACACACAATCACAACCAAACACCCAACAGCCAGATACTACACACACACAATCACAACCAAACACCCAACAGCCAGATACTACACACACACACACACACACACATCCACATTCTTGTTGAGTGATCTAACAACCCTGTCTTTCTCCACCCTCCCACCCTTGACTCCTCAACCTTGTCCTCCTTGTTTGTATGTTTGTGTGTGAATAATGGTGCAGAAACAGCCATGGAGTGATTTTGCAGTGGGAAAGATTGACAGTGAGGTCTGGAAGGTTAGTATCTCAGGCAGTTTTTTATTGAACCAAATACACAGTAGAATGCCTCAGGGCACTGCACTTGGAACAAAACTTGGTTCTGCTCTTCACAGGGTCCAAAATATATCTATTTTTCTGGCCAATGGCAGGTGATTTGAGGCCATATTTTTAAACAGAATTTTGCATTTTAAAAAGAATTCAAAGAAAAGTCTGTACCTGTAGATGTTCTACTGGTGTAGTTGTGGTCTGAGATCCTGCACTGCTTCACACCTTCCTCACCTTTTGACCTTTAACCTTTCTTCTAAGCATGGATTCTGTCTTTTGTCTGCATGCACTGCAAAACTCATTTATAGTTCTCCTCAAAATGTTCTCTTTTTTTCAAAGTTTTTTATTGTATTTTATTTAAGATAAATCTCTGTAAACCTCTGTAAACCTTTGTTATTATGCTTAAAACAAACATAAATTGCCAAATTGGGTAAAACGTTTGTTTTACATACACACACACACACACACACACACACACACATATATATATATATATATATTGTTTAAAAAAATATTTGGATATATACAACAAACTTTACTGAGGTTTATGCAGATTATTTATTAAGAAAATGCCTTTTGCTCAATACCTCTTCATTTCTCCTCACCCTCTCAATATATTCCTTTTGTAAAATATGCAGGGTTCAACCTTTGTCTTATTTAAAACTGGTTAATCATTTTCAGTTCAGTTTGTTTAATCACTCACTCATCGCAGGAACTGTGTTTCCTGTTTTGTTTCTGCGTGACCTGAACATCAACACAGATCTCAGCGCTCAACCCACTGGCTCCATGCTGTATATTTGTATATTTTGCTGTATGATTGTGTTCTCGTGTTTAAGCCTCTCTGCTTTATCTCTGCTTCAGGATCTACAGGCGGCCACAATAAACCCTGACCCCAGTCTGAAAGAGTTTGAAGGCGCAACTCTCCGCTATGCCTCCCTCAAGCTACGGTGTGTGAAAGGAATAAATAAATACAAATGAATGAGGGAGAGGATAAAATTACAGTAAAGTGAGATGTAAAATGTCTCTTCTGATTGCATGTCGTCTGTGTTTAGAAACCCTGCTCCTGTGGAAGATGAAGATTCCAGCAGCATTAACAGTGACCCTGAAGCCAAGGTGAGAGCACACGAGTTTGTTCTGCACATACTGCAGCTATTCAAAGAAAACAACTTACAGGGAACTTATTTTAGCCTTGAGGAAAGGATTCAACCTAACACTCACCAAGCTCTGTAATAAATGTGTATAATATACTGTATAATGGAGCTGGTGTTACCAATTGTTTGGTGTTTTATTTTTAGGAAATGCAACATTATATGATTTAAGTCAAATTGTATCTTGCTGTTGTAAGAGACAAACATGAATCAAATCACTCCCTCAATGGAATGTTATTTGTTGATAATGTTCCTTCCATTAACACACCAAAATGAACATAGTGCATTTTTTGGACAGATGCAAGAGACAGATTTCAAGTATGATTCTGCCAGTGATATGGCTACTTGTTTGGCGCATATATACCAAGTTCTAACATGAAACTCTGTATGGCGTAGGCTAATGGGTCCTTAACGCAACCTGCTGACAATTACATTGTTAACTACATGACTCAAGCTGATTGGTTCATGTTGCATCTGCAGTCATTGAGCTTGTTGCTAAACATTTAAATAGTTGGTCAGTGTTTGCTGTAGCAGTTTCTCTGAAACCTTCCACCTTCCCCAGCTCCATCTGTATAGATCTGCTATGAGTAATTTCATATGCTATTTGTGCAGCAGCAGTGTGTCTGTGTATGTATTGGCAGTAGCAAGTCTCAGTACTTGCTCAGCGGGAGCGTAGCAGATCTATTCTGCCAAGACCAAATAGATTAATATTGTCATATCCATTACCATGCTAAACTCTTCTGAGACTTGTCTCGATAGAAATGCAAATAGAAAACAGCTAGTTAATAGAAATATAAAATGGAAAACTACATTTTAAACCCTGTTTAAGAGTACATAATGCTTTGATGTTCTCTATTACTGTAACATTACTGTGTATTTAGAGTACAGTACTGCTAGTGAGATTGTTTGTCTGAAATAAGCATGATAAATGTGGTTTAACCATGTAGCTGGATTGGCACTAATTATTTAATCAACATTTTTTATCGCCGTTTGTATATTAGTGGAAATTGGTGGTTCTGTTTTACATTTTTCAACTTCAAATGTAATTCTAGATATAGAGTGCCATCTGCTGGCTTCTCAAAGAAATGCACATGCATCTCATGTCATGTCATGCTTGGAGAAATGTAGTAGTAGGGTAAACAAGACCATGCAAAAACACCTTTGTATTTTTTGATTTTTACTATATTTAAATAAACACACGCACACACACACAAATAATAGTGTGTTAAATCCTTAGTGGAGCCCTGCTGTTAATGTAAAGCACTAAACAACATCACTTCTGTCAAAAGACTGCCATAAATACACATGCATTTGTGTAACAAAACACAAAATGTGAAACAAATCAACAAAATATTACAAAATTGTAATGGACTACACTGATTAAAAAGAAAATAATACAAGAAATGTCCACAATGCTTTTTACTTTGCAATGGAAGTGGATGGTGGACATGACTGTTAAGCTACAAAATGGTCAAAAAAGTCTGTTTGACTTTTGAGGTAAACGATCGCTTTGACAAAATTGTTTCACATTTCACCTTCATAATTCTGCAGATTTCTTTTTTGTTGTTGCAATTATTACCTGATCTCGTTGTATGCTAGCTCCACGTGTATTGAATCCTTCAGTTATGCCTTTTTGTCACATACACCACTATTTAAAAGTTTGGTGTCTGTAAGATTTTTAATGTTTCTGAAAGCATTCTTTTATGCTCATTAAAGGCTGGCTTTATTTGATCAAATATATACTTAAACATATACAATGCATATACAATAAAAACAGTAATATTTTGAAATATAAATTTTAAAATTACTGTTTTTTATTGTAATTTATTTTAAAATGTATTTTATTCCTGTGATGTCAAAGCTGAATTTTCAGCATTATTACTCAGTCTTCAGTGGCACATTATCCTTCAGAAATCATTTGTGTGAACTCTCTTGAAGATTTTTCATTTGCAACTGTGTCGTATTTTTTATATATATTTTTCTATTTTTATTTTTTCTACCTACTGAAATTGTGTGTGATTGTAGAACACTTTGGGCAACTTGTGTTGTATTAAAACTGCTGTGTTGTATTAAAAGCAGAATAAAGAAAATAAGAAAAGGAAAAAATAAATAATTTATCAATTAGCTGTATCATAATTTATGAATTATAGCATTTAATAATTTTTTAATAATAACATTTAACAACAAACAACATTTATGATTGTGACAAGCCCACACATGTGTTAGAGTCTCATGCTCCTTTAGTAACCATTTTAATATGCAATTAAGATTCATTGGTGAAAAGAAATTTAGGGGAAATACGACATTTATTATTTTGCTTCATTATAAATGTCTTAGTGTAACTCTTGATGAAATGAATGTGTCCTCGCAGAATAAGAGTAAGCATCCCACTGTGTCTTAATTTTGTAATATCCAGGTTTGAGTTTGCAGATGAGAGTTCATCTGCTATTCATGCTGCCATATACACACACACTCTCTCTCTCTTCCTCTTGAGGATCTGTTCTTTCAGCAGCAGTTAAAATCAAAAACTGAAAGAGTGCAACAACAATGTGCCTATTATTAATCTCTCTCACACACTTTCATAATGGAGGAGCCTCATCATCACAGATTGTTAGAAAAGAAGAGAGACTGAATGATCGATGAATTTGCTCTTTGAGTGTTTGGGATGAGATACAGATGAGTAAGGAGGAGGGGAACAAGTGGGAGATGAAAGAAAAGATCTTCCAGTAAAAAGGGTCTTCTTGTTTGATCTGTGTGCCTGCGCGTGTGTGTGTGTGTGTGTGTGTTAATGATCATATGTGTAGGAATGCTCTCTCTTTCTCACTTGTTTTAACAGCAGCTATTCTTAGAAGCTGCCATGTGAAAAATTTAAAGAGGTATTTCATCAGTTTAGTCTCTAGATATCTTCCACTATAGAGTAGGGGAATTTTGTAAATGGATCATAATGTTATAGCATTTTATATATATATATATATATATATATATATATATATATATAAACAGTATGCTTCATATCCAAAATTCTCCTGTGACAGGAAGGGCATCCTGGTACCACAGGAATAACTCTAGGAAAAAGATATATATATATAGATAGATAGATATGTATATAGATACAGTATAATATATATATATATATATATATACAGTATACACTATATATGCACAGTATAGTAGATAAACATAATACTATATAATGGTACTTGTTCCAGTGAAAACTTGTTGTTATGTCTTAAGTCGAACATTTGCTATACTCTTCATTTGCTAAAGTGTGTTGTTGTAGCGCAGTGGTTATGTGTACAGTGTTTGTGCTTAATCTGTGGGTTTGTGTTTATGACAGTGCTTTGCTGTGCGCTCTCTCGGCTGGGTAGAGATGGCAGAAGAGGACTTGGCTCCAGGTAAAAGCAGTGTCGCTGTTAACAACTGCATCCGTCAACTGTCCTACTGCAAGAATGACATACGAGACACTGTGGGCATCTGGGGAGAGGTGAGACACACACACACACACTCTCTCTCTCTCTCTCTCTCTCTCTCTCTCTCACTCACACACACACACACACAATGCGAAAATGCACAACTACCAAGACTTCCATTGTTAACCAGATTTATACGAACCCATGCTGGGGTGTGTTTCTCGAAAGCATCGTAAGCCAACTGGTCGCAAGTTCCGTCGTTATCAGCACAGTTCAACAAGTCCGTGTTTCCCGAAACCATCGTTCCAACGAACATTCGCTAACAGCATCACAGAGTTGTGTGGTGTGAACGACAGCTCTCGACCTATGGTTAGAAGGATAGTTTCTAAATTGCATCACATTTGGACTTAACAAATCCGTATCTTCTGCAAAATAAGCAAGCTGACATTCAGTACAGCCTGTGTCTTTTATTTAGAACACATAGTTTGTCAAGAGATTTAAAGCACCGTTTTTGAAGACTGCAAATGTGCTCTACTATGTAAGAACCTTTGCTTAAGTATGGAAATAAAGCGAAATAACTGAGAAAAATAAGAAATATTCCTCAGATGCCATGTCTGTAATTTATACCAAAACATCAGCATTAATTCGATCTCAAACAATTAAATGAGTTAAAATAAGTTGTTACTCCACCACGTGCGTGACGTTTTAAACCAATGTGATTGCACACCATTTTGCGGCATATGGTTTTGGGAAACTAACATCATACTATGGTAGTTAAGCAGCGAGTTATGTCATTGTGCGGGAAACACACCCCTGGTTGACCAACCACACTAAGATTTATATGGATCTGTAGGCAGCACTAAACCATCTTCAGTGTCAATCTGTTTAACAGGGCACACACATATTCATTAAAAAATATACACGTTTCTAAACATATGGCTTGAATCATCTTTAAAAAAGAGATGATATAAAGAGAGGGACAAAATGAGACAATACGAGAAAGAATAGAAGTAATGAAAAGAGGGAAAGCTGAAAATGTCATGCAGAAAAAAAGCGAGTTTAATGTGTTGTGACAGGACACAGGAAGAGAGCCTCTGTTCTCCTTCTGCCTTTTATTTTCTGGTCTGATCTTTTATTCATTACTTCCAACACATACAAGCACTTGCATCCTTAGACCTTATAGTAGCTTGTGACATCGATTCCAAAACCTAGTGAGTTGCCCACATGAGCAATATTTCAAGGCATCATAGGTGCACTTCGTACTCGAAGGGTGTTTTAATAAGGTAGACAGTATCTTAGATTCAGTTCTTAGACACCTTTGGTCAAAATCTCTCTCACCAGGCATCATTGCATTTATCCTTCGCCGAGAAATTAAGTGAATAAAGTGATGCAAGAGAAACATTGATTGATAAATATAATGATATTTTATTTAATACTGAAAATTTTGATGTGACAAATAAGCTGACAATTTGATTTATTAGAGTATCAAGTTTTAAATTAGCAGCAACTTAACCAGTGCTAGTTGTTTGAAATGGATTATAATATACTTACATTTCATTCAATACAAAAAAGCAAAGTTTAAAAACTTCAGTCGAATTTACAAAATTCACTATTTTACCCATTTTTTCCATGTGTTGTGCATATTATGCTTGTTAGAATATTACAGTTTACACTTGGCGCTACTGTGTGTTTTGTTTGTCTTGAGCTATTTCCCTAAAATTACATGGATTGCAATATATTTACATTTCAATACCAAAAAGATTAGTTTATACTTTTTTACCTATTATGTGTATGTGCTATACATTTATGCTTTTTATAGTAATATGTTTTTAGCTTAAAAAATGTGTGAACACCATAATCGAGGCTAGAGTGCTACTTGTATGACGCCTTATTAACCACCACGCAAATGGGTATAGGTCCCGCAGGTTTGAGTACCCTGGCCCTGCTAACCAAGCAATTCAATCAGTTGATGACCGCTGTTACAGCAGCACTGTTGACCTCATTTATTACATATTAACATTGCTTCCGTAACCAAATTTAGAATGCTGCAAACATTTTTCATTACTGTTTATATGCGAATAAGCCTAAATTAAATCTGCTCATTTAAAGCAATCGTGTCTCTTCTTGGATTAAACTGCTCGATTCATAATTCTTTGACGTCTTGAAGTGTCAGAGTTTCAATGGAGGGACAGAAATCTTCCAAATTTCATTAAAATAAAAATACATATTTGTGTTCCGAAAATTCACGAAAGTCATATGGGTTTGGAACGAACTGAGGTTGAGTAAATGATGGCATTTTCATCTTTGGGTGAAATAACACTAACCAAATTGCCGTTGTTTTATTTACGTCAGAAATACATTGCGTATGTAACTAAATAGTTTACTTTTATTAAACAATGTTATCCTTCTCCCAGCTCACCGGCCACTTTCATGTCTTTTGGAAGATGAATTTAGGTTTTGTAAGTCGGACAACTCTGATTCTCTGCGCTGAAGTTCAAACTATTACATGGCGGCACTAATCACCTGTTATCGTCTAAAAAAATCATTTTAAAAGTGTTTAAAAGACAAAATACAAACACTAACAAATATTTGAGAATCAGAATATCAGCCATATTTCACAATAAGAAGACAATTGTTCAAGCTAAAAGCAAGTACCAATATTGAAGACAATGTACTAAATTAAGACTCTTGATGAATCCAAAACCAAGAAGGTTTATATCTTAAAGCTTAAGGGAGCAAGTACAAAAGTGTAGACATTTTTTGGTATGCAGTTTAATACATATAGATTTTTAAATGTCTCACTTACTTCTATTCAATATTATGTTGTGCAAATGTTACGTAATGTTGGGGTGTGGGGGGCCTGAGATCGTTTGGGGCCCCCAAAATGGTAAACCCGCTCCTACTATGTAGGCATTATACAGCAAGAAAGCTCACTAGGTTTTGAAACTGAACACTCTTCTTGTTCTCTGGCATTGTGCGTGTGTTTCCAGGGGAAGGATATGTACCTCATTCTGGAGAATAACATGCTGAATCTGGTTGACCCGATGGATCGGTGCGTTCTACACTCACAGCCAATCGCAAGCATCCGTGTGTGGGGCGTCGGCCGCGATAATGGAAGGTAAATGCTGGTTGTCATGGCAATGGGTATTTTTATGGGTTAGTTAAGGAGAACATGTTAAATGATTAAGGGATTATAAAATGTTTAATAAATGACAGAGATAAACTGACTAAAACTAAATGTTTAATAACTCTGTTTATGAAAATATGGGAGGTGTTTCTAAAAATGTCTTTATAAATATAAGAGTTTTTGAAACCGCACAGATGGGGCAAAAATGGATTTTATATCAGTTTAAACATTGCAGCTGCCAAAGACATCATCAGGGTCTAATTTACGAGGAGCTAATTTTATAATTTGCTGCACTTGTTCTGCTGAATCTCTGAGACCCACTAAATGTTGGCTCAATCTCCTCGAGTAAGTTCTTTCTCTCCCTAGTTAAATCAGATAAAGGTCATTTCAAATACTGAAATGACCTACAAAAGCTATTGAATGCAAGTGAAGTAAATGGACATTTCACCATTACAATACTTTATTGCTGGGAAAAGGAAATCAATCAGCGAGAGTTGCCAAGTATTTTCAAAATATTTACTGCAAAACTTTAAGTAAAAATAATGAATACATGTTTTCCTCAGTTTTTCTTTTAAGTAATCACTAAGGAGTAATGATATTTAATGACTTTCCTGTATATGAAACAATATAACAATACCTAGTAATATAGTCATAATTAATTTTTAAACATATATATTAACAACATATTTTTTGCTAAGACATTTTAATGTACAAAAATGTAAAAAATAATAAAAAAAAAATAAAGACTTGAAACTGACAGTTTGTCTCAGTCACAGAATATGTAAGGAATATTTTTTTTATTTTTTTTATTGCAAATTAACAAAACAGTAACACATACAAGGTAAGAAATCAGTGGCACATCTACAATACAGAAGAAGGAAAAAATATATATATGTGTAAGGAATAATTGACGACGGACCGCTGAATTATTAGAAAAATAATGCACACGCGTCGTGGACGTTACACCTCATGTGTGCATTATTAATTTCTAATAATTCAATGGCCCTGGAGTCAATTATTCCGCTTATATTACAGTTACCACACCTCAAAACATTGTTTAGATGATGTATTTCAAGACGTTTGTCAAGTTTTTGTCCTTTGTATGTGTGTGCATTTGAGTGGGAGAGCGAGAGAGCATGGGAAAGATACGTGATTTTCTTAATAACTAATAAATGCATAAAAAATAAAATATAATTTCGTGACAGAAAACTGGGAAATAATTTGTTGTTTTTATACTATTGTTTACTATATGTATTTTACTCAGTCAGTGTCGTTGTGGGTTTTTTTTTTTTGTCGTTGTAGTCTGTAAGGACCTTTGAAATAACTGAAATCATTTGGTGATTTTTTTTTCCCTGAAAATAATTGCACACCGTAGAACGTTCTCAACCAATCAGAACCAAATAATTCAACATCCTTGTAGTATAATGCTTAATTTGATGTCACTAAAATATATTGTGACTATACAGTATAACCTATTGCCCAGTTCTAGTGGCTGATGCATGTGCTGTGAATTCTTCACATTTTCATTTTAATTAGTGATTTATATCTGCAAACGTCAGCATCTCTGCACCTGTGACTTTCCTCAAGCGTTCATTACTTATTACACTCTGTTAGAGATTCACTTAATGTATCTGTGTTAATGTATTCTGAGATTGAGATACTCCTCCAGTCCCTTCACGCTAAAGGTCATTATAATGATTCTGGATTGAAGAAGTCACCCCAGTGAAAGGAGAACTGAAATAAAAGATTGATGATTGAGAGACTAATGAAAGTTTAATCCAGTGTTATAGGGCCTGCGCAAATGTGTAGCTGTGAGTATTTTTGACTTCCAAATGTTGCATATGAATCTCTTACACATTTTGAAGACCTGCACTTTTCCTGCTTTAGTCCCAGTAGAGCTGATTGATGTGTGTGTGTGTGTGTGTGTGTGTGTGCGCGTGTGTGTCCGTGTGTGTGAATGATGCAGGGGTGGAATGCAGCATACTACATCAGGGATGCTGAATCACAGTTTTGCCTCACTGCTTATAAGCAGTACCACACTCTGACCAGCAGATGGCGTACTTCATATGTTCATGCAAAAGGAACCATGCTTTAGGCTGGGCTTTTTCAGACTTATTGTGTAGTCTGCATGTGTAAGTATGTGCTTGTGTGTGATCATTGTGTCCTCCTATGCTAATACTCCACTAAGCCCATCAGTAACATTTTCTCCCAAGACCCTGGAGGAGGTTACCGTAGCGACAAGCGAAGCAGAAGGGGGAGGGTAGAAGGAACGCTGGGATTGGATGGAAGGAGAGAGAGTGAAAATGAGAAGGGGGTAAAAAAAAAGAGAGAGATCCAGCATAGAGAGGTGAGCTAGCTGCATGTTTTTAACAGAGCAGGGGATGAGACGAGGAGGTGAAAAGTAGAAGAGGAGAGGGTACGACAATGTTACAGCAGGAAAAACACATTAATTGAGAAAGTGTGAGTATTTTTCTCTCTATCACTTCATTTTATAACTTCAGACAATATTCATGAAAAAATTTAATGCATTTTTTACTACAGCATGGCATTTGTTGTTGAGTTGTTTTCAGTGGAAGTATGTATTGGAATGAGAAAGGAGGAATAGTTGAGCAGTTATAAGGTGGAGTGGGTGGAATTGCTCCAGATGGTGTAGATGAGTAGGTGGAGATTTCAGTAGAGAATTATGGACCTACTCTACGTGTTGTTGTCATTTACTGTGGTGAGGATAGCACGGTGGAGTACTGTGTGTGCCGTTATTAAATTAGGTCACGGCGAGATGTTCACATTTGAAAGAGACTGCAACTTCCTTGTGTGTTCCCTCAGATCAGGCCTTCCCTCTGATGCCATCCCACACATCCACGCAAACTAGAACACATGCCTTTTTTCAAATTCCTCAGGGGAACCTCAGGGCTCTGTTCTCGGTCCATTTGCTTTGTTCCTTGTACCTCCTTGTAGATTCTCCTTGACCCTCCAGCACATTTTTATGTCAAATCCTGTTACATAGCCCAGTTTGAACAGGTTTACCTGCCTTGGGGTTCATTCTGGACATTATTGAGTGCACTGAGTTCATCTGGTTTTATTCTCTCTCTTTCTGTTAAATTTCTAATTACCACACTGTTACATATTCATGTCTTCTTCTGGCTGCACACAGAGAGCCTCATGTTTTGAGGTGTCACATGCATCTTGATAAATGTCTAAATTCTCTTGTCACACCTGCTGGTTTCGTTCCCCCCCCCTCTCCTCTCTTTTCTCTTTCTTTCAGACGTGCATACATTCACACTTAGAAATAAGCTAGTCTTATTGTGGAGGTTTGGAAAATGCTAAACTACTAGAAAATTTACATTTTCTTACAAATATATTCTGTCCACAGCAAGTTCTATCAGTTGATAAGATACAGTTCCTGTCCTAGGAATTGTTTATGGTCTATTTGTTATGAATACCTGAACACATTTGAACTTATTCATGAAACAAAATCCTTCATAATACATATTTTGTTGCATCCAATTGAATGTGACAGTTTTGTTTTGTGAATGATTTATGCAGAAATTTGTTTTACTCATGTTTCATTAATGGGCATCATTGTGTGTATTTTCTCATCATGTTAATTATCTTTTACTCTACTGCTTTCCGGGACTCAGAGAGAGGTAAATCGATTTTCTCTTTTGTCATTTGTATTCTTCCTATTGCCCAGATTTGTTGCTGGTCATTTTGTTCATAATGGTTTATTTTTAGCTGAAATGTTAAATAATAATACTGTGTATGATACAGCTGGAGGTGTAAGTATAGAGATACTCATTCATCTTAGACATCCGAGTGCACCTGGCTGCATATAGTATATGAGGGTGTGTGTTTTTTCTCCACGGTTATATTTTACACCATATTTTTTTTGTTTGTTTGAAATGTTGATGTATGTTTCTTTAAGTAACTGTTTTTATATTGATTGTCTAAATCTAAAGGGCACATCATCCATCACAGTCTTTGAGGGCAGTTCTTAGCATATGCACAAACACACACACACAATCTCACATTTACAACTCTTTATATTTATAACCAAGTGTCTGTTCAATTGCATCATTTATTGATTCGTTTAATATGGTTGTTGATTTAAAATGACTCTATTTATTTCCTTAATGCACATTCCTAGTCTCAATGTGCACTTTATTTAAAATAAAATATTTTTTTGTAAAAATGTAGTGCATCAAGGGTACCTTTTTATGGCCCAGTCATTTTTCTATGGATAAAAGAGTGACCCTCTACATTTTTCTAGTTCAGTATTCTGTTTGGTAACACAAGATTATGTGATTTAAATGGGTTGTGAAATGTGACTTTAAACAGCTGTTTACACATAAGTTTAATCGTGTTTCATTTTAATTGTGTGCAAACAGGGATTTTGCATATGTAGCGCGAGATAAGGACACCAGGATATTAAAATGTCATGTGTTCCGCTGTGACACCCCTGCCAAAGCCATCGCCACCAGTCTGCACGAAATCTGCTCCAGGGTGAGAACTACACACTATATACAAACAACATCCAACACAATTATCCTCAATGGCCCATTAAAAACAGTTTAACACAAACATTGCAGAGAAAACCACTGATAGTCTCTGCTAAAGGTTATAACACAGCTGAGAAGGAAGAAACAGGGTTCACAATCTGTTTAGGCTGCTGATTTAGGGCAGCGAGTCTAATGAGTTCGATCTCTGTGTAATAGATCATGGCAGAGCGCAAAAATGCCAAAGCTATGGCTGGAGGATCCCTACAGGACAGAACACATGCTGGGCTCGACGTCCCACTACAAGGTAACACAACATGCTTATACACTACTGGTCAAAAGATTTGTTTAATGATTTTGAAAGAAGTCTCTATGCTCACCAAGGCTACATTTACAAGACAGTAAGATGATGAAATGTTATTACATTTTTTAAAAGAACTGGTTTCTATTTGAATACATTTTAGAATTGAAACAGCCTTGTGAGCTTAAGTACATTCTCAAAAAACTGATTATTATAATAGAAAAATGGATTATTCTAAACTTTTGAAGGGTAGTGAATGTGCATTTCTTCCCTGTTAAATAATAGGTGTTTGATAATGTGTAATTTGTGTGTTACCCTTAGCAGAGTTCCCCACACCAAAGACTGAACTGGTGCAGAAATTCCAGGTGTTATACGTTGGCATGATGCCGGTTGCCAGACCTATAGGTGAGCAATCACTCTCACTCACAGTCTTGCACTCATAGTTTTCATGTTCTCTCACACACTTATATAATGTGGAATGTTTGGATAAATTCCTGTAGCTCAAAGTGTAGCAAGCAATACCGTCATGGGTTTGATTTCCAGGGAATGCATGAACTGATAATATTTATACTTTCAATGCAGGTGAGTAGCTTTGGATGCATACATGTAAATGAACTGGTCATAAATTTGACCTAATCCTTAACAAAAGATAAACACAGTCTACTTAAACTGCCAAACAATCATTCTTTTTTTATGTGTTTATTGAAAGCACAGTGTAAATATTTACAGTGCAGTGTGGAAAAAGTAGGTAAATTCTTGTTTAATAGGTTTTATGGGTTTTTCCAAATCAGCCATGCACATCTGTCAGACATTTGGCACTTTTCTTACTTGCAAAACTGGTGTGCATCACATTCTTAAGGTCCCGCTTTTGTCACCCTTTTCAGCTTTATGCAAATCCACAATTCTCCATCTTAGGTGTTCTGAGATCTATTTTGATTGACGGTGATTGCCTTGTATATAGCAAACTTTGTGAGTGTTGTTTTATAGGTCAGGGTGGCTCTGACCTTCATTCTCGTCTTAAGACTCCAGGTTAGATGACTCCTGAATCCAGTTAGCTTTTGAAGAAATCATTCTCACCCTACTTGGGGCCAGATTTACTAACAACTTTTGGCTTTAACAAACTAAATATGCGCAATGAAAAAAAAAAAAACGTAGACAGGGTTATTTTTGCAGCTGACCTTATTGCATATGCATTTGTAGAAGTTTCCCTTTCAGACGCAAAATTTATGGGAGTGTATTTAAATGAATCACGCAAGGCGATTTACTAAGGTTTGCGCTACTCAATTTACTAGTATTCTTGCAATTATTTACCGCCCAAAAAACATATCTTTAACCAGATGCTAATTTGCGTTTAGTAAATCTGGCCCTGAGTGTTTAATAAAGACATGAGAACGCATCATTGTTTGTTATTTAAGTAGACTGCATTTGTTGCGACTGTTGTAAATTATGGCTAATTTTTCAGATAAAGCCTCTCGTACTTTTTTCCTGGAACTGTACATGATATTACAAGGTCAGATGTCCCTGTTTTCTAGGCATGGACATTCTCAACGGTGCAATAGACAGTTTGATAACATCGTCAATCCGAGACGACTGGATCCCAGTGATGTTGAATGTAGCCGACGCAACAGTCACGGTCATCAAAGAGAAGGCAAGTACAGATTTTTCACTTGTTACACCCAATAACGTCATTGCCAAAATAGCTGTGTGTTAGTACAACTAATTCAGGTGTGCTTATCATCTTTGAAATGTTGATTTGTGCATGATTCTTGGTGTCATAATCTATATTAGGAGGAAGAGGAGGTCCTTGTGGAGTGTCGTGTCCGTTTCCTGTCCTTCATGGGAGTAGGAAAAGATGTGCATTCATTTGCGTTCGTCATGGACTCTGGGAACCAGCACTTTGAGTGTCATGTTTTTTGGTGTGATCCCAATGCTGGCAGTGTGTCAGAGGCTGTTCAGGCAGCGTGCATGGTGAGTTATAACACCGGAACAACAGGTCTACACCTTGTCAAATGCGTTACAAACATACTGCAGCAGTCTTGTTCTATGGGTACTATAGCAAAGCTTTATAACTAAACACAATCATTGTCAAGACCAGAGCTGGACAATATAATGTTGCTACAAAAATTATAAATCAATAATTTGCAGCTTATTGAATACAAACTGGCATTCAAAAAGACTTTTTAAAAAAGGTTTTTGAATCTCTCATGCTCGCTTAGGCTACATTTATTTATTGAAAAATAAATTAAAACTAATATTATTGTGAAATATTTTTGCAATTTAAAAGAGCACTTTAAAAATATATTTTTTTTATATATTTTTTCATGAATTGAACATTCAAAAGCTTGTATTTGAATTTATTTGAAATTTGAAACCTTTGTAACATTATAAATATCAAAAGATTTACTGTGACTTTTGAACAAATTAATTTGTCTTTGCTGAATAAAAGCATTTATTTTCATTTATCAAAAAAGTAGTAATCTCAAGCCTAAATTCTTTAAAATTGGGATGTGACATTTGCTGTCAACTTGAAATATAAATTCTCAGAAAATGCATTTAATACTGAAATGTCTGTTTATATATTCATACTCCCTTTATAAAGGAGTCCAGACAGTAGAAAAATATCAGTCTATAAGTTTTTATATTAATTATGAGGACATGTGAATGTGACACAAAAAATACACATGTGACGTGACACAAAAAATCTTTAACTTTTAGGTGGCAAAATATGTTTTTAGTAATTCTATGAACTACGCTGCGCAAAATAAAATTAATACTACCCGCCGGTTGAAGAAGGGTCGCCCTCCACATAACATAAAATATTCTTTTTATTTTAATTTTTTGTGTTTATTTATGTGTGCATTTTGTGTGCATTTATGAGGGAAAAAAATGTTACGGACGTGACAGTTCTCCGTTACAGACATGACCGTTCTGAAAGTGACTTTAAAACTTTCACAGAAACCTCAAACATAAAGCACAACGCCTTTCTTTAAAGGGAATTTCGTGTTTTATTAATTGCATCTTAATTTTAATCAATGTTTCATCAACCAATTGCCTGTATTTAATAAATAAGAAGTAAATCTAGTAGAAAATAGATCATCATGAAATGGCGGTGCCAGCGCATGAACTGGACTCTCGTCTAATAAATGAACCGAAACTCAGCAGCGTATAGCCTAAGGTAGGCTACTTGCCTCACAGACTTGATCAATATATAGAAAGCTTGAAATGTCTACTTTTTAACAGATCAATTAAAAACGAAAGATAACAGACTACTCTCTGCTTATAATCCGTATGAACTGTGCATTTCTCTCTGGCGCGTTCACTACTGCGAAGATTGTGAGTCAGCATCGCAACTTCATCTTAGCTGACAAAGAAAACACTTGTTTATTAATAAACAATTAAAATGTCTCCTTGCATTACAGCCCCACTTGACATATTAATAATCATTACTTTTGCCGGTTCTTAGTGGCAGCGTTATGATACTTTATTGGCAGCGCCACCCTTACATGTTGCATGAACCATTGCATCAGCACCGACAACATTTTTTTTTTTTTTTTTCTCAAATCAAAAATCGTGATAAGAACCGAATTGTAGGTTTGGTGTATCGTTACAGCCCCAATAAGATAAGAAAGCAGGAGTTGTTTGTCATGGTTGTAAAAAAAGTACTGCCGCAAACCAGCACAGAAGTAATCAATAAATTATCGGGGAGGGTCATGCCTTTTTTCACAATCATTTTGGAGGGTCATAGAAAAAAATATTGCTGGCGAAGGGATGGTCAAGTCTAGACTACAGATCTTAAATCTCCCCCGGTGGACCCTTAAAAAACGAACAGTCCCTAAAAGATCTTTTCCAGCCCAGCTTGATGCTTTGCATTCGACACATGAATTCATCCACTCACTCTTTCTTCTTGTTTTCTTCTTTGTCTCTGCAGTTGAGGTATCAGAAGTGTCTGGTGGCACGCCCTCCATCTCAGAAAGCCTGTTCACAGGCGCCCCCTGCTGACTCAGTCACACGCCGCGTCTCCACCAGCGTCAAACGTGGAGTTCTGTCCCTCATCGACACGCTCAAACAGAAGAGACCCGTCACTGAGCTCCCCCAGTGATCTGACACACAAGCACGCATACTCACCGTCACACTCTGCATGCTTATAACTATCAGAATGTCCTGTACATAACCTGTCCAGTCACATGATGGAGTTGAAGAGGAACTCGAGGAGGAAAACTGTCTGAAAGAAAAAGTACACGTAATTATACAAATCTGATGCCAAGAAAAAAAGTCACGCAAACACACACACACCTGATCAAACCTCTCTCTTCCGTCACACAATATATGTCAGTCAGTCATGTGTATATCTGCATGGGAAGACGCGCTTCTCCAGCATGACAATAACCATTGATAAACACCACTCCACCTGGACAAAGCCTCCTGGAAGAGATAACTTAAACTGAAGAAAGTTTGAATAATTCAGAAAGAACAAATCTGACACACAGTGTGTAGAAGAGCTTGATGCTGCTTCATTTGCTAAAGCATGTTCGCAAGTGTCATAAAAACAAGCGGGTTTTCTTTGTTATACCGACGAACACAAAAGAAGAAGAATGGATGGATGAGAGGAAGTAATGTCATAAAACTCAGAAGATTGTGAAGGCTTGTAGTCTGTTCCATTCAAAGTCGGATGTTGAATATTCCTACTTGACATCTTCTGACCAAGGTGCTCCAATGTTCAAAAGATTGTGTAAATCGTCAGTGATATTTTTTATAATTTTGCAGGCAAAAATGTGTAGCGATGTATGAAGCGCAGTCCACACAAAAGTCACTTTCAAACCAAGCAGCTTTCTGTTGGTGAATGCAACAAATTTGCCTGATGCGAGTGGAGAAATACCCGTCACGGATTCCTGAAACGGCTTGATTTCAACCTCAAAAAATCGGCCAAACAGTGAATGTGACCTTAAGACAACAAAACAACAACGCTAACTTAGCATCGCTTTTGTTCAACGTCAACAATGCGGAAGTTCCTTTGCACATTTCCAAGTAGGAAGTTGTCAAAACACATCAAAGCTTTCACCAAATTAATATTTTTTTTCTTCGAGAAGCTCTGCTGAAACGCTTGTCTTCACCGGAAGTCGATGAGGAGGCTTGTAAAAGATGCGGACATAAAAATGAACAACCTTGATAAATCAAACATCCCCATAGACTTGCCCCGCATTAACACAGTCGGAAGGGCATGACCTCTTCATTTCAGTGTGTAGATGTAAAGTATGAATGTGCTTTTTATATTTCCAAAGTGAAATTGCCTTTTTTTTTTCTTTTGAAAGAGAGAATGTTGCAGAAGAGAACTGAATTACTCATGGAGCGAAATACAGGAGGCGGGAAGAACTTTGCTTAGAGCCAAACGGTTCAATTGTGTCACTTCTGCTTTGAACCCCAGCGTAGTGCTTACTTCCTCAAGAGGCTTTCCAGTGACTGAAAGTCAAAAATATCTGCAGCACATCCAAGTTAGTGAAAAACTAAAGAGCTATTTCAGTTCTAGCCTCCGTTCCTCACGTTCGGATGTCATTAGTGGCTCTATATGTCTACAACATTTTTTGACCCGCACGCTTTACCCATGTGGTCTTGCTGTGCTCTGGTGTGCCACCTGTATTCCTAGACTTACCCTTTCTTTCACAAGGGTTTTGAAGAATCACTTATGTGTGTACATACAGTATCTATATATAGCAAACATCATATCATAAGCTTTATTTTTCAAACTTCAGATACTTTTATTTTGTCATGTTTTCGGTTTTATTTTTGGTCGTTGCCTTGGCATGTCTTGTGATCCCATTTGTTTTGGCCATACTGTAAAAAAAAAAAAAAAAAAACCTCATGTATGTGTTGTAGATAAACCAACTGACAAAACAAAGAAAAGAAGAAGAGTGAAAATGATGGTAGAAATTGTGAATATGGATTTATTTTATGGTCATTTTTAGGAGAGCTAGCTCTAGGGGAGGAGATGTGAACTGTAAGTGTCTATCTATGCATTCTTTTAGCTCTGAGGAGGATTTGAGAGAGAGAGAGAGAGAGAAAAAAGACACTTTGCCTTGCATGTCCTGGGACAATTTAAGAAGAATAAGTGTACTGAACAGAAATGATATTTTTTATTTTATTTATTCTATTTTATATCGGTATATACTGGTTTTTTTGTGATGTATCATATGCTTAGACATTCTTTACCCTGTCTCAGACAAACAAATCAAACTAGAAATGTCAATCCAAAACATTGTACAGTTACTCTGGTGACCCTCAAAGAGCTGTGTGTGCCCAGACGCTGCCTGCCATTGTTGCATAACATTTGAAAGGCCTTGTAGGACCTTCACGTTCTGCCCAAACCTACATTAGATATGGCTTTAGAGGGCCAGATTTACTAAACAGGGCGAGTTAGTGTGAGAACGCAAAAGAGAAAGTGCATATGGGAGTGGAAATATCTGTGTGATTTACTGACTATGTGCAAATTAAAGGGTTAGTTCACCCCAAAATGAAAATGAAGACATTAATTACTCACCCCCATGGTGTACCAACCCCGTAAGACCTTCGTTCATCTTCGGGACACAAGTAAAGATATTTTTGATTGAATCTGAGAGCTGGATCACTCTTCCATAGGCTTCCTAGGGGACTGGCTCTTGACGGCCCATAAAGTCATTAAAGAAAAGGTTTAAATATTCCATGTGCCTACAGCGGCTCAATTATAAGTTTATCAAGCAACGAGACTACTTTTTGTGCGAAAAAAAAACCCACATAAATAACGACTTTATTCCATTATTCCATTACTCCCTTATGGGCGCATGCGCGAGAACTGAGACGAGGACGTTCTCATTCGTCTACTTCTTGTTGTTACCGGCTGCTCACCGCTTAGGAGTTTTACCGCCACCTACCGTATAAAATGATGATCCATATATAAGGCGCTCCGGATTATAAGGAACACTGTCGTTTTTTGAGAAGATTAAAGGCTTTTAAGTGCACCTTATAGTGCGGAAAATACGCTAATTGAAAAGCGTATGTACAGCGCGCATCTTCCTCTGCTTGTAAACAGAAAGTTTTGCGCTTCCAGCTATATCAGCACATCATCTTATACGGTAGGGGGCAGTAAAACTCCTAAGCGGTGAGCAGCAGCCGGTAACAAGAAGTAGACGAATGAGAACGTCCTCGTCTCAGTTCTCGCGCATGCGCCCATAAGGAAGTAATGGAATAGTGGAATAAAGTCGTTATTTATGTGTTTTTTTTCGCACAAAAAGTATTCTCGTCGCTTGATAAACTTATAATTGAGCCGCTGTAGGCACATGGAATATTTAGACCTTTTCTTTAATGGAAGAGTGATCCAGCCCTCAGATTCAATCAAAAATATCTTTATTTGTGTTCCGAAGATGAACGAAGGTCTTACGGGGTTGGTACAGCATGGGGGTGAGTAATTAATGACTTAATTTTCATTTTTGGGTGAACTAACCCTTTAAAGAACACGGACACAGTCAGATCATTCCCATAATGACCAACGCAATCTACCAATTAGCGTCTGGTTAAAGAGATTCTCGTCCCATAATGTGTGCGTCTGAAAGGGAACTCCAACAAATGCATTTGCAATAAGGTCAGCTGCAAAAATAACCCTGTCCACGCCTTTTCCGCGCTAATTTTTTACTGCGTCTTTAGTAAATCAGTAGTATTTTAACGTAAAAATAGGGTTTGCACTGGCGCAAGCTGTTAGTAAATCTGGCCTTATGTGACCAAAAGTATGTTGAACTTAACAAGTTGCCATTTTTGCTGCAACAGATAATAACAGGCATACAATTGATCGTACAGCCAAACAAATCACATTTTGGGGCATTTACACAAAACAATTTGAGAAACAATGCAGGAAATTGGAAACAAATGCAGGGTCTCAATCATCTTCCCAGTTGTGATGAATATACAAGTAAAACAGCTTCTCAAACAAGAACAAAATGTATTGCTGTGATCTCATCATGTGAGTGACGGGTTGTCTTGCTCTCACACCAGAGGGCACAGGAATTAAAAACATATATAATTTATTTGCACGCATAAATTATATTAACAGTGCAGTATTCCATTAAAAAAAATTAATTATCAGTTTTGGTCTTATGGTGACGTTAAAAGTTTTAACGATGATTTTTAAAAATGTGGCGTCCATGTGCAAGACACTGAAAAAGCACTGAGACATGTCACAACGATAAAAGAGGTCCTTCTCTTAATGGATATTGCTATTTCAACTGCAATTTTGTAGCAAAATCGGAAGAATCGGTGTTAGCTGTTGCAGCATTAATTAGGTCAAGCACCCTAATAATGATAAATTATATTATATTACACACCCAAAATTTGGTCATTTAGTGTATGTTCCAAAATGTCAAACAATTTCGTCAACAGACACATTCGTCGGGATTGTCACAATCGTATTTTCCACAGTAACCAAAATTAGAACGCATTTGCTAAGGCAGTATGTAGACTCCTGTATCTTGACACACAAGGCCCATCGTGTTCTGCTCTCATCCTGCAGATAATCAGAAATAAGCGTCGTCTTTATAGACTTGTCAATCTGTCTGCGTACTGCATCCCCTCTTCTTATCTCTTTTGCAGTTTTGAAGAAGTGCACGTTGGTTTTTGTTCAGTTCTTTCATGTGAATTTCACTCTGTGATGTTGGGTCTTATAGAATGCAATGTTTCTTTTGGATTATTTTGGGTCATATTGAATAAGAATTAATCACACTTGGTTTAGAAATGAATTCCCTGGCAACCAGCAAAGTCAGCTGTTACATTGCTAGAGGAAGGGGGCATATGGGTAATGTAGTCCAGTAAATAATTCAGCATTGAATCATCATTCTCATGTTAGCCAAACGTAGTGTGTTTGATTGACTCTAGTGTTCTTGTATGGTGAAACACTCTGATTGACTACTATCAGGTGAAATCTTATCACAAGAATTAACAAGCTAAGAATGAATGAACACTCTACTGGTGAAGTAAACTCAAATACGTTTTTGTGAACATTGGCCTTCTCTGCTCTACACTAATTTGTACACCATATAAATGTAAACTGTTGTGAAAATAAATAGCATATCACAAAATACATCTAAATGTTTCTGACTGTTAATTGATCTCATACATACTGTATAGTGAGTCTATGCCATAGACCTAATATGCCCAAACTAGGGCCCGCAGGCCAAATCAAAGGATACCACGGGCCAATTTTGGCCCGCGGGCCCTAGTTTGGGACATACCGTCTTGGGAGAGGTGATTTCTTTAAAATGAAAAGTTTACAAATAAAACTGTATTAGTTAATCAGATATTTTATATTTATTTAAAATATTATAAAATAAAAAACCCATAGCAACTTTAATCTAATAACGTTTGATTTATGATGCAAAATTTACTTTTGGCCCACAGCCCGCAATTAAGTTTGATTTTTGGCCCTTAATAGGAAAAAGTTTGGGCACCCCTGCCATAGACAGTATAACAAGGTCTATGCGCAGGCAGATTTCATGCAGCCGCCATTTTGAAATCGAAAGCGAGGCTCCGGTGGGAAGAACCCCGGAAGTACAGATAGATAACAATGCCTTAGACTACCAGCCTGAAGCTGCTGCTGCTGCGATTTACACTATTGGATGTTAATATCCAATATGGGATATGTATATAGTTCGTTCCTGCTCTTTTTTTAATGTTCTGAATTAAAGGAGCTGTATGTAAGAAATGTATTTCAAATAATCATAAAATCACCCTGATATTTCACTAGACATTAAGAAATCATGTTCATTTCTAATACTTATATTACTGACAACAGTAGTCCGGCCAGGATATTGTCAGTTAAGAAAGAAAGTTGAAGCCCTCAACTGATGTTGATGTTGTCATGTTGTGTTTTGTTCTGATGCTCATCCCTCCACCATCTACCAATCATGAAGTCAGTAGTGTTGCAGCATCTGGGTTGCCAGCTTTGCTGTAATTACCACAGTTCTTTAGTCAAGAGCAGTGAGTAATTTTCTCTGTTCCGTTTGTTCTTTGATTCACTTTACTGACAGAACGCTTTATTCGCTGCTGGCCCTTTAAGACCAGACGTTGCCGAAACGCGGATCTCACACGCGCCTCATTCTCTCACAAGCACAACTCTAAATAAGTTAAGTTTACCAAATAAACCATTAGTGGCATAATTATAAAGCCACAATAAAACATATATTTATGTACATCCAAGTGAAATGGTTCTATTTGAATAAATACATATAAAATGCATAATTAAATGAGATACAAAGTATTGTTTACATTAGAGCAGCCGTTGCCGAGACGCGGATCTCACATGCGCCTCATTCTCTCACAAGCACAACTCTAAATAAGTTAAGTTTACTAAATAAACCATTAGTGGCATAATTATAAAGCCACAATAAACATATATTTTCTTTTATATTGTTACGTACATCCAAGTGAAATGGTTCTTTTTGAATAAATACATGTAATGCATAATTAAATGAGATACAAAGTAGCCTATTGTTTACATTAAATAAGATACAACATACATGAGCACCACAGATTTTTGATACCAAACCATCTAACACGCGATACAATTAGGACCTTCCTCTGCTGGTTAAATATCACAAATAAAATTATTTATTCGACAGAGTATATGATACAAACAGATACAGTAATGCCAACAAACCGCATATATCAACATGAATAAATCAACAAGACTTATAGTCATGAGATCAGTAGGCAACCATTGTTTACCACAACTCTACTTTAGTATGGATATGGAAGCACACAGGATGTGTACAGTGTGTATGAACAACAGGATGTAACTCAGCGCCATGTCTGTGAGCGTAAAATGATAGAGTCTCTGCCTTTGGCAATACTGCTGGAAGAGGAAAGACTGCTGGAGAAATTGGAGAATGACGAAGACGAAGAGAGGTGTGAAGGACTAAGCGGATAAAGGTGAGGGAGACTGAGCTCTCTTGACTCGCAGGCCTCTGATTTGATCATTTCCTTTTTCGGTTTAACAGATTCTTGTTGAGACATGGCTCTGCTGTGCAGGTGTCTGG